TGATGTGCAATCATAATTACAAGATTAAAGAGAAGTAATGTTAGTCATAACCCCTATTATAATCTTCTTGGAATTTTGAAATTTGAAAATATTTCCAGACTAAAAGTATCACTTTTTACATACAAACTTAAGAATGATAAAAGTAACACCCCAGCTGTACTACTGAATATTCTCACACCTGTATCAGAGATTCACTCATATAATACCAGGTATGCTACAGATCGGAACTTCTTTAAGCCATCAGTACGCACTAATTATGGTACATCTACATCTAAATTCTCCGCAGTAAAAATCTGGGGATCTGTCCCACCGGAACTTAAACGTTTTCCATACATGCTCTTCAAAAAGCGGTATAAAAGATTCCTATTGACCACTCAAAACTGACCATAGTTTAACTGTTAGCTATATAAGATAATGCTGTACAATATGCAGGACATCGTTTTCCTTTTATTGTAACTTGCATTTATGTATGTCTTTCTTCTCTTACGATAATAACATCGTCTTTAATGTAAATATTAATTTAAACTATACTTAGCACGCGGCCAACGCCAACTTATATCTGCGTGACAGTGACCAACTCGAAAGCGCATTGGCCACTTTGGTCACTGTACACAACCAAATATTGTTTCTTCTAGTTAATCTCTATTTGTATTTTCTTTTCTGTTTCATTTTAAACTATCTTATGTTAAGTCGTTTTCTGTAAACAGTGTGCAATAATAAAAACTGAACTGAACTGAACTTATTCATCGGCGAGAATCATTTTAAGTCTATCTTCTAACACTGGGAAAGACCAATATTTACTGAAAGAATGAAGCAAGGCTGATAACTATCAGCCTTGCTTCATTGTTCTGTTTCTATTTTTGGCTGGCAAGATGTTTTACAGATCTCACGTACACCGGCAGCAATTTCGTTTGCGGTCTCTTTCACCATCGTATTTACTGAAAGAATGACTCATTAGAGAGTTGTTGGTCAAACGTATAATTATCCGTGGCCCATAATCCAAATTCCTTGATCAGCTGAACGTAATAACTCCAGCAAGTTCTTAGCGCCTTTCAGCACAATTATGAGCTTGCAATCATAATCATGAAACTCCCAGCATAATTATGAGCCTTCCAGCATAATCACCATCCTCCCGGCATAATAATGAAGCTCACACCATAATTATGAAGCTCACAACATGATTGCGAACCCCTTGTGCCTAACTATAATTGAAGCACTCAGAATGGTAGAGAATAATTTCATTTATTTTACACCTTTTTAACGGTGGAAACTGCTCACACAAAAAATGCAATTACACGTTCTTCGGTTAAGGTGGCTGGTAACAGTTTCTAGCTCTTTCTAGCAGTCATACTTTGACGGGCCAATGCTACCACTGTTTATCAAGAGTCATATAAATCCCCAATCTTTGTTAACAAGTTGCAGTCACCTTCACGGCAAAATGAGTTACTATAGCAACAACACGACCTATTAAAACACCCTTAATCTTAGGTTTAAGTGCTTATAATGAAAATCGGTTCGGTGAAACTCTTTTTCATTATTGAATCGTGAATAGGATGATGAGAGTTCTGAAATATGTGTTGCGACATCCACCATTATATAACATTGTAATTTCATTTTTATAATTTAGTAACATCTAAACCTGGAGAAAGCTGGTCTGGCCAGCTGAAATGTTGTTCTAAATATATACGACTTTGTGTCAGCCTTGCAGTAGTCTTTGACTCATCATTGTTTTTACTTTTCAAGTTTGTTTGATTAGATCTCCTGTGAGATCCAACGTTCAATCAAGCAGGATCTTCGTTCACGGCTTTGCGGTTTATTTAGTGTGTTTTCAAAACTTTTTCCATCCACACCAGAACGTAAAGCCGGCGTTTTAAACTCTTCCGATTTGAAGAGCGTTTTTGAAAAGCTCCGTTTTCGTGACGGATTAGTGTGGACGGTAGGCTTAAACTTAGAAAGAAACCTCTGTTTTTAAATTCCTCCAGCGTAGTGTAGACGGGGCCTAAGGAACTCCTTCCGTTAACCACACCTTGTAAGGAATGTCTTTCAGTTGCCATGGAGTGTGTAAGCAGCCTGTCCAAAAATGCGCTCGCGCCGCAGAAAACCCTTCTATATAAACTGAGTAATACAGTACACAAATCGAAATTTATTTAACGCCTTTATTTAAATCATGTGCAACATTTTAAAATTATTTTTTCACTGCAAACTCCTGACTGTTATTAATTTCTATGAGATTATGTAAACCTACATTCTCTACTAGATTTTGCCTTTACGATCACTACCCTTATGACTATAAACTTGATAAAGCGGCTATTTTGACGTGTACATTAATTGACAGAAAGCCTATCCGGCAAGCAAATGATACCACCATACTGTAAGGTACATGAATCTATTACACATGGCTCTGCATAATATTTTAAAATGTTTACCAGCATTGAAATACATAGCTCTGCATAGCATTTTGATTGTTTTCACGTGTACATTATTGAAATACTCTGACAGTACCTGAATTCTTTCTGACTAGCAGAATCTATTTTCGGAGATAAGTGATCTAGCGTACAAAAACTCACAATTCCACACCTTTTGCAAAACCCTGGAAGTTTATTTCGCGATTATACCGAGTAAATTCATTATATTCTGAAAAAACTCCTAGTATAAATCAAGATGTTGTTTATAAGAAGTGGAATTCGTTATTTTAGTGTTTTGTAATTGTGACTAAGCCAGAGATGAACGACTGGTTTGTTAAATTGTATGTTGAGTCCACAATGCGAATTTATTTAGTCAGCACCCTCGATCGTGCTTGATGCAGGCGGGTATATTAAAATTAATGCCAGTAGCAATTGATATTTTGAGACAAGGTCTCTGAGCTCAAATTCGGCGCAGAAATAAATTAACAGAGATTCCTTAATCGACCTTAACCCGATGAAAAATCTTTGGACTATTTTAAAATTTTTTTCAATTTTCCTTGAAATAAATTGGTTTTACACATTCTTTGAAGATCAGTTACGTTCCTTTATCCTAGAGTACATTGTAAACTTCTCTATGAGGTTCTGTTCACCATAGTTTGTGATTTTTCCGCGTTTTCTCTCTACTAACTGGAGACAGTGCATGCGGTGAGTGGTAGACGGTCGACTGGGGTAAGCTTGCTATCTAACCAATGGTATCATTTAGAATTCAGTGCTCAGTTTTTAAATTTAAGTAGAGCATATTACAATCCGAATTAAAAAATTTTAAAATACCCCCATCTTCAACTGTAAAGTAATTTACAGTTATACGTCTTATACCTCACCCTCGCTTGGTTTTGACAAATGTCTCTTAAGAAAAGCAAGCACATGAAAGTTCAGAAATTCACTGGTCCTATTTTCATCTCGGTCCTCTTCAGGGAATATTTTTTTCCCTGCCAGTGCTTCCAGCTCACACCATGACCATAGGGCGAGGGATTTGTGTGATGATACTTGCCATTCAGGTTAGATATGTGACAGCGGTTGTACCACCACGCTCCGTGACGAATACTGGCACAGTTTTTGTCCTCATTGTTATCATTATCTTGATCGCGAGTTGTAAATGGTTGACCGCGATGATTATTAAGAGAGTCACCAGNTGAAAGTTGAACTTGAAAGCTTGCATAGACTAAAATTTTATCCGTCTGTACTCTTATTGATGATAAAAATGAGCCAATCAGCGCGCGAGAAATAACAGTTATTGTAAAAGTAGCATTTTAAAATGTTTACCAGCACATTGAAACACTTCGACATTAAGCTCAATATCTCTCGGCCAACCGTGCGATTGACTCGACAATATCTACATAGCTCTATATAGCATTTTGATTTTTTTCACATGTACATTATTAGAATACTCTGACAGTAGCTGAATTCTTTCAAACTAGCAGTTAAGTCGACTTTACTTAAGTTGAACGAATCTATTTACAGAAATAAGTGATCTAGCGTAGAAAAGATCCCAATTCCACTTCTTTTGCAAAACCTTGGAATTTTATGTCGCGATTATGCCGAGCAATTCGTTATCTTCTGAAAAAACTCCCAGTATAAATCAACATGTTGTTTATAAGAAGTGGAATTCGTTATTTTGGTGTTTAGTAGTTGTGACCAAGCCAGAGTTGAACGACTGGTTTGTTAAATTGTATGCTTAGTTCACAATGCAAATTTAGTCAGTACCCTCGTTCGATTGTGCTTGATACAGACGGGTACATTAAAAAAAATGCCAGAAACAATTGATATTTTGAAACAACCACCTTATATTAATTCCTTTAGAAAAAAACCTAAGCTCAAATACGGCGCAGGAATAAATTAACAAAGATTCTTTTAATCGGCCTTAATCCGATAAAAATTCTTTTGACTATTTTTACAGTTTTTCAATTTTCGTTGAAATAAGTTGGTTGAAGGTCAGTTACGTTCCTTTATTCTAGAGAACATTGTAAACTTCTCTCGAGCTTTTGTTTACTATAGCTTCTAGTTTTTTCTCTTTTCTAACTGAAAACAGTGCATGCGGTGAGTGGTAGACAGTCGATTGTGGCATGCGGGTAAGCTTGCTGTCCACCAAGCGACTGACATCATTTTAATTTCAGTGCTTTGGTTTGCAATCTAAGTAGAGTATATTACCATCCAAATTAAACAATTTTAAAATATCCCCATCTTCAACTGTTAAGAGGGTTTACGGTTATTCCTCACTCCAGCTCTCTTGGTTTTGACGAATACCTCTTAAGAAATGCAAAACATAAAAGTTCAGAAATCCACTTGTCTTATTTTCAGTCTCGGTCCTCTTGAGGGAGTAGTATCTCCCCTTTCCACGTCTTCTCTCTACTAACTGAAGACAGAGTATGCGGTGAGTGGTAGACGGTCGATTGGGGTAAGCATGCTATCTAACCAATGGTATCATTTAGAATTCAGTGCTCAGTTTTTAAATTTAAGTAGGGCGTATTACAATCCGAATTAAAGAATTTTAAAATATCCCCATCTTCAACTGTAAACTAATTTAAGTTATACGTATTATACCACACCCTCTCTTTGTTTTGACAAAAGCCTCTTAAAGATCACGCCAACGCCATAAGCCGAGTGAGAGCCATCATGATACATGCCATTCAGGTTGGAATTGTGACACTTATTGTACCACCAGGCTCCCTGAAACCTCTTGGCACAGTCTATGTTATGGTCATCATTATTATCTTGATCTCGAGTTGAAAATGGTTTACCATCATGAATAGAGAGAGAGTCACCAGCAGTTCCTGAGGCTGATTGGATTAAAAAATGATTAACTATTGCAAGTAAGACAAAGTTAACAATGAAAATAAATTGTCCGAGTGAAAGTTTTTCTCGTGTGTGTTCGGGGGAGTGGGAATGGTAATAACACATTGATCTTTAAAGCTATGATGATCATGGCGTCCTAAAGAGCAAGACACATTCCTTGATCTCGAGGAACGAAGCAATATATATGAATGTAAATGTAATGTAAGGCTCACTGTATTTAAATAACAGACCGTCGTGTAAAAAAAAAATAACAACTGAGTGAAAAAAATCAATGCGAATGTCTCATTTTGAAAATTCGAGAACGAGAGATGAGCTTAAGATTTTATTTGTGCGGAAGGTGTTAATTGATTCGCTTCTCAAACTTTCAGCCGTCCTAGCTGTTGTTTTGACCCACCAGATTTTGTTGCGTTTTAACGTGTTTTTAACTGTATCGATACATTTACAAATTGTCGCTACAACGAACATAACGACAGGAAACGACGCGAATCACCTGAGTAAGAACCGAGGATCAGCTTGTACTTGTCATTCTCACTCATAACACCAAACTTGTTATACTCGGCATGAGCGTTATTCCCTTCAAAGTCCACGCGAAGCATGCTGTAATCATCTGAGGTCAGGCGGTGAATTTTGTCCAGTCCGAGCCAAAATTCACCATTGAAATCTCCAAAACCAACTTTGTAATCGCTCCAGTCAAGAAAAAAATCAACAGAACCGTCCAGTCTCTTCTGGAATACTGTCCACCCCCCACCGACTGTTGTTTGGTCACAAAACACATCAAAGGCAGGCAAACTGTCAGGGTTGATGGTGTAAACACCGTCTTTTTGTTCACCAGATTTGTAGATTTCACCGCAGTTTCTGTAATCTGCAGGAAAAAAGAAATAATGGAAATTTCGATATGGTGCGAGTGTTGGGGAGAGTTTTTCCTGCGCCCCTGCTGTACCCCCCTTTCTGCGAGTCACGTGCTGGATTCCATGTGCTTTTCGGGTGTTGTGGGTTTTGAATGAAGCGTGTTTGAAATCTGCATTCTGTTCTCCTTCCTTTTGCTTTATTTCATCGATGTTGAAAAAAAGGAGGCCTGAAGTCGCCCAAAGATATGTAAGTCTGCTTTATTTTTGATTTAATCGCTTCTCTTATTTGAATTGCCTTCATTTGTAATTCGGTATTTCTTTCGTTTTGAATCGCAAGCTTACATTTGTAATTTCAGCTGTACCGTTAAATTATCAGTGTCCAATGTTTGTTTTGTTTTCTGGTTTGTACAACAGCGGGTTTGTAGCAGGAGGAGTTTTTTTCGTGCACGGAGACCCCTGCTGTGGACGAGTGAAGTCGAATTGGGACGAAATAAAAGTCACACAAATACGGAGATACGAACTTGCCTTTGTGTAGGCCTCGTATTGCACACGAGAAGTATTTTGGACCCGATTCCTGCCGATTGGGCAGAATAATCAAAAAAGGCTTTTCTGACTTATCAGTGGAGCTGTTTCAAACTGGCCCGGTAAGACTCTGTTCCCGGGAGCTACTTGTTTTCTCTCGTACTTTTCGACTCCTTTTCTTTGTCCCCATAAACTTTTTTTTCTTTTTTTGACTTTTCTTAAGTTGACATGCAAAAGTTATCGGTATACATTACTTTCATTGCAAGTTGTTCCAGTGAATCCAGGGCGACAAAGACAACGAAAACCTTTACTGGTGAATCCAGCTTGACATGTGCCATTATTGAAACATGGGCTGGTACTGCAGGAATTCTGTTACGAGGGAAAAAGAAAGAGACAATTAATGAATGCAAATAAATGACTTTTCATTTTTCATTGTACATTAAACACCTATCATGACATTTTTAGCCAATCAGGATTGAAAGAAATATATCAACAGACTTCTGTATGATTTATTAACTCTATATTACATTTACCTCAATGGCAAGATAGGTGAAAGATGGCTCATCAGCAAGGAAGATGGTCAATTGGTTTTCATCGGTTGCATTATTCAAGTCACATTTGTGTTTTCCTCCATCTGAAGGNGCCATTGTTCAAACATGGGCTGCTACTACAGGAATTCTGTTACGAGGGAAAAAGAAACGAGAGAAGCAAAGTAATGACTTTTTTGTTATTCACATATATATACTACACTTATCATGATATATTTTCTAATCAGCATAGAGAGAAATATCAATGAATAACTATAATTGTTATATTTTTAGCTGAGCTTTCTTGCCTTGTGAGACAACGAAATATCATCTGTATCGCTGAAAATATTCAGCATACTTCTGTATAATTATTAAAGAATATATAACATTACCTCAATGGCAAGATAGGTGAAAGATGGCTCATCAGCAGGGAAGATGGTCAATTGGTTTTCATCGGTTGCATTATTCAAGTCGCACTTGTGTTTTCCTCCATCTGAAGGTCCCAAATTAATGGACACACAATTAGGCTCCATATAACACAACAGTCGACAGGTCCCTTCGTTAGGGACCTCCTCACTCCTAATCACGTGATTCTTCATTGCTCTGTTTGCAACTGGTTCCTTGAATATAATGTTGCGGCATTCGTCGTCTGTATGAATAAACAAAAATAAAATATCAAAATGACTTACTCTGATAAAACGTATTTGCCTCCTGCTCACACGGTTTGATCGTTTTTATTTGTCGATATTTCCAAGCCACTCTTTTTCAGTTGGGGAAAGAATATTCGTAAGTGCTGGTATCATAAGGGAGAAGGGAGTGGAAGACTGTTAACGTTTATCAGTATTTTTTTCAGTACATTTCCCGTTACACAGATTATTACTCTGATAAAATGTTTTTGTGTCCTGCTCACATGGGCAGATCGTTTGTTTCGCCATCCCAGTGTTTTTGGAATGTATAAAAGAATATCCACAAGGGCTGTTATCAGAAGAAGGAAAAACATAATGATGCGAATTCTTGCGGAAGTTTTAAAAGGGAATGGTAAAGTGTTCTATCTGTATCTTTTATACAGTTCATCAGGGCTTTAAAAGACAGTAAATCTTCCTAATATTAAAATTATCAAACGTTATATCCATGGTGAAGATCGGATCTGGAAAAAATACCTTAGAAACGTTTTCCCAGCTCGGTTAAGTTTGAATGAAAAATTATAAATTCTTTCCCTGCAAAACTGTGTTATTTGTCTGAGTGAAAACGCCAGTTCAAAGATCTGCCCGTACGAACGAGTAAAATAATTCGGTTTGCCTGCGTTTACATGTGTTCCACATATCATCTGATATGCTCAAAAGGAAGAAATAACACAACTTGGATTTTCGACTATAGCGATATAATGTCTCGGAAACAAAATCAATTTGGCAGAAATATTAGAACCCTTGTAGAGCGCAAACTAAGAAACTGTGCCAATTAAGAGACGAACACTTACCAAAGCAACCACGACATAATAGGAGAATGTTTCCAAACGAGATACAAAGGCAAAAGATGGTAGAAATGTTATGCTGAATCTCCAAAGGAGCCATTCTTCAGAATTCGGAGAGAAGTATGCAAAGCGAACGCTTGTGAGCTGTGTCAGCCTGTATGTATTTTTCAGTTTCGACGGGGAGAAGTTAATTAGAGCGGAGGTTCCTGTTTTGACCAATTTGATGGATTGTTTATGATTAGTTTAATAGAATGCCTTCTATTGTCAAATTAAGGTAATGTTTACTTTAGTGAATAAGTAATTTATGCTAACTTCAGAGTTTACACCTTTGTAGATCGGAACTCCGAGGGTGACGGAATTGGTTTGGATTGTTTGGAATAAAAGATAGGCAAGCTTCGTAACGGTTTCTGTTGAATATTTTCTAAATTCCATGGTAATTCTACCATGGTTTCTAAAACTTAAAAGGTGTTTAGTTTCCCCGGTGGCCATACTGATGTCATTACCAATGCCTGTCCAATCGACCTTGAATTTCAATATAACTATATTTAAAAGTTCCAGTAGAGTCAACTATTATCTTATGATCTTGGGTTT